GGCGGTCCCCCCCGCCGCCCCCTGCCCCCACCGCCGGATCCTGGTCGTTGATTTCCAACAGCGCCGGACCCTCACCTCTGTGTTTCTGCTGATGAGCAGCGGCTTCAAACCGCAGGCTTGCAGCTCTCGGGATAACCGTAAGACCATCAAGCAGTTTCAGTGCAGCTTGCGGCATTGGGATATTATTTATTTTTGCTGATCGGATCAGCAAAGCTGCCACGGTTTACAGGGAAAGAAGGGTGGGAAGAAGGCAGTACATCTTAATAAAATTCCATAGCGTGCACCATGGAGCTACAAACCATCCTGAGCAAGTTCAAGTAATGATAAATACTTAGAGGTCACAATAAACCCATCCAGGCTGGGGGTTTACCTGGAGGGTCTTGCTCTTGGGAGCCTCTTCCCTTGCTGCAAGACCAGTTGCTGCAAACCAGGACCCTTGCTGGGTCGGGGACCACCAGGACTGGGTGCTAGAAGAGAAAACACAACCACCACTGGGCTCATGAGAGCTGGGAAAACCAATTTCCACCATCCACTAGCGATTCTTCCATCCCTGTAATTCCCTCAAGGGTGCCACCAAGGATGCTCTCCACCAGAGAGCTCCTTCATCACCAGCGGCTGGACCCATCGCTGCCCTCTGAACCCCCCTCTCCCAAAAGAAGGGTGCACTAAGCCGCTAAACCGCACTGCTTTGCAACCAAATGTAACCTTTGCATGAAATTCAGTATTTTCTTCTAATCAGGAAGACCCATTATCTACCCCGCCACATTTATTTAGGCAATTACATAGTTTAATGTACATTGATTCAGATTCTTAATTTTTACATTTTTGATTATGATAAAAAAACAGGGAGTGACGCATTTCTTATTTGCTCAGTGCTCTTTTTTTCCTTTGCAACGTGCCAGGCTGCATGCGAATGGAAATTGGAAGTCAATTAAAGAAGTGCAAAACCAGCATTTTAAAATCTTTTTTATTAGTTAAACACGGCTACCTTCAATGTGTCGGCTACAGCAGGGTGGAAAAAAAACCCCAAAAAGCAAAAAAGTGTGCTTATCCAGACATGTTTTGCATTTAAAACCGACGCGATACATGAAAGAAATATTAAGCGTAGTGAACTGACAAATTAAGTATCTCGTTCCTGACAAGCGGGAGCAAGCTCGTGTCGGTGGTTGAGGAGCCGGGTGGGAATTTAAAACCAGGGGAAGGGAAAGACCCATCACAGCATCTCTGGGTGCCGGTAAGGGAGGTGGCACCTCTCAGCCCCTGGCCGTGGTTTCTCCTAGACGCTCTGGAGAGTTGCCTACAGCAACATCTATGCTGCTAGGGGTTGTGTTGCCATCAGGAGAGCCTCCATGAGATGTTTAAAGCCAAGGAGAGATGTCCTGTCTTCTCCCACTCATTTCTTCACCCCTCCCGCACCTCATCCAAGCTGACCACCCATGCGTGGCCACCAGCAACCCCTTGGTAGAGCAGATCCTGGAGGCACCAACCTCAGCCTTTCTCGCTCTGGTTCGCAACCAGGAGCAACCCAGTTGTGTAGACAGGGAGCTGCACCCAAGCTGCGGAATTTCATTTACAAGCAGAAGCTAACAAACCAGGGCTCAACACGACCCCATCGCTTGCAAGACCCAGCCCTGCTTGCCTGGTGCCAAAGGGACGTTTCTTGGCAGCATCCGCAAGGCACCGCTCCGGGAACATCAGTGAGCTCCTTGTGAGCACGGGGAGGTCAGTGCTAATGAAAGATGTTATCGCAGAGCCGGCGTCCAGCCAGACGAGCGTAATTAGCGGTATTTGCAGAAGACAAACCTTGGCGAGGACGGGGGGGATGGGAGCACCTCCCCTTGTGATCATTTTGGGGAAAAAACACGGCCATTTGGAGGCCTTCCAAGCTAGAATAACAGCCTCACCAATGACTATTTAATTAAAACCCGCGCAGCGTTCGAAGGGAGAAGGGCTGCGAGTGAATAAACGCAGTGATAAAATATGCATCGACTCCGGCATAAGTTCTCCCTCCCCAGCCCAAGCCTTTGCTTAAACCGTTGATGGTTTTTGATTCACAAGCTCCAGCGAGGAAGGAACATTTGCCAGCCACTATTTCAATCCCGCCGGGAGTTTTTTCCGGGGGTTATGGCCACGCTGTAGTTTAGGATGTGTCAGCGCTGGCATCATAAACACACATCAGAAACGCTATAAAAGGAGGAAAAAAAAACCCAAAACCACACTCCTGGCTGGAGTTTAGCATCCTGCAAGCTCAGGCCAAAGGCAAATTATTTCTCCGTTACTGAAATAAAATCAATAAAACTCATTTTTATTTACAGAAGAGCCAAAGAGGGGGAGAAAGGAAAACTCCTCAAGCTGCAGAAGAGGGATAGGGGTGTTTATGGTTTTCAGCTGGTTTTCAACCAAAAACACAAGGCACTGGGCAGTGATTTCGAGGTGAAAAGCAGCGGTTGGGCTCTTCTCAGCTGCCTTCCATGGACCTTATTGAAAATATCCCCAAGTCCCTTAAAGGTGCCAACCCTGGGGTGAAACTCCTCACCCCAAGGCAACCTGGGGAGATGCTATCTCTCAAGAAGCTACCATCTAGATAAAT